GCCAAGGAGTTGCAAGGCAAGTGTAAGAGAGGGGTTGGAAGGGCGACGTCGCCCACTCCAAAGTCGTCGTCGTCGTCGTAAACGCTGACGCGGCTCGCGTCGAGCCGCGCCGTCGGAGCCTGAACGTGGACTGCTCGGCAGGGACCGTGCGTCCCCGCCCGCGTGTCCCCATAAACCCACGTGGCCCACACATGGGCTCCAGATGGTGGGGACCAATCGACAGAGGAGCCGCTCACACCATCGCGGAGACGCCGCCGCCGCGCCAGCAGCGACGGCCCCTTTGCTCGCTAACAAGCCTTCTAGTCTAGAAGGATGGCCGAGTACCAGCCTTCAGACCACCATTACCTGTTCCAGGACGAGGTTCTTCACTGAATTCATCCAGCCAGAGTCTCCGCTGTCCGTGAAGCCGTGTGCGATGATCATGGTTTTCCTACCCGGTGAGAAGTCGCCGAAATCTGTGCCGTTGTACGCGATCAGTGTCTTCTCTGGAACGTTTCTGCCCGTAAAGAGGATTTCATCCTGCGTTAGGTGCAAGGATTTCAGTGATGAAACATGCACATAAATCTGCGATATAGTTGGTGACGTCAGGCCTCTAGAATCAGCAATATTGAGCCACTTCAAGCAATGTTTGCACCATTTTGAGCTGAAATACTCACTAGCTCATTCACATCAGCGATGACGTGCAAATAATAGATGAACTGATGCGATGCGGGAAGAAAACAACTTTCTAAAAGAAGCGGGTTGCACAATTCCACGGTTCACACTGTTGGGTCAGACATGCGCGCACCTGGTGTAGAGGAAGAAGCAGGTGCGCAGCTCTTCCGGCGACTGCGGCAGGTTGGAGAAGGGCCGACGCACGTCACTCCAGGGGTAGTCAGTGGTGAAGCACCCCACATCATCGTAGCACACGTCCTCTGCCGCTGCACCGAGGAGGGAGGTGAAGCACTCCACATCGTCACGTCCCCTGCCGCTGCGCCAGGGAGGGAGGTGAAGCACCCCACATCGTCACGTCCCCTGCCGCTGCACCGGGGAGGGAGGTGAAGCACCCCACATCGTCACGTCCCCTGCCGCTGGACCGGGGAGGGAGGTGAAGCACCCCACATCGTCACGTCCCCTGCCGCTGGACCGGGGAGGGAGGTGAAACACCCCACACCGTCGCGTCCTCTGCCGCAGGACCGGGGAGGGGTGTGCGGTGGTTTGGGGGAGACTGACAATTCGAGAAGTGAGACAACATTCGCATTTCAAACCATCCAACGTATGTGTGTAAACTTAGGCTGATAAACCTAATATCATTTGATTTTGACGCGTTCACAATAGATTAAGGATGTCAGAAGCGGTAAAAGCACCCCAACAACTACCAAAACATTACCACAGGTTTGGGGACGGATAGCCGCCAGCGTTAACTCCATGTGAGCATTGTCCTTATCACGGAGTTATACGGCTCTAACGTACGAACTTGTGGGGATGCACACAAAACGCCCAGATCGACGCAAAATGCATCGCAGGGAGGTTACTCTATTGCCACAGATTGCTATATTGCCCCGCGCAACATTTTTTGTTGTTGTCACCGTGACCCTCGTTTGGGACGCCGGTGGCATCAAGATGGGAGCGTTGGAGCGCAGATCTGTCACCAGCAGCACTGACCGGCGTTCGCAGCCTCGGTCCGTCGCCTGCTTCCAGCAGCGGATCTCAGGGAATCCCGCGACAGCCGTGCGGTGCATGCAGCGGTCTCCTCGCTCACAGAGCTGATGTGACCGAAGTCCATGCGCAGTTCAGTCGGTGCGTTTGTGGGGCATTCGACGTCCTATGAGACGCCCATGAGACGCCCATGAGACGCCCATGAGACGCCCATGAGACGCCCATGAGACGCCCGTAAGACGCCCATGAGACGCCCATAAGACGCCCATGAGACGCCCATGAGACGTCCATGAGATGCCCATGAGACGCCCATGAGACGCGCGATAGGGAAGCAAAGCCTGCTCGATTGTCAGTAGCAGGAATTGCTCGGCTGCCGGCAGGAAGACTAGCTTGACTGCCGGTAGCAAGACTTGCCCGACTGACTTGCCGACAAGACTTGCCCGACAAGACTGCGGGAAGCAACACTTGCTTGACTGCCTTTAGCGATATTTGCTCTACTGCCGCCAGAGAGACTTGCCCGACTGCCGATAGCAAGACTTGCCTGACTGCCGGAAGCAAGACTTGCTCGACTGCCGGAAGCAATATCTGCCCGACTGCCGGTGCCATGCCATCCAGAAGTCCAACTCACCCGTGAGGCAGACGGTCGTCAGCGCCAGACCCAAGAGACACAGCCCTGCGGACCTCATCGCTTCTCCGCAGGTTGGCCGGAGCTCGGCAAGCCTCCGAAGCAGCGCAGCCGCTTCTGACACATCAGACGGCGGTTCATGTGATTTTTCTGCTATCGCTCAAGGTCATATTACGGCTCAGATATAACTGTGGCCGCAAAAAGGCTCAGCATCATTTCTTCTCGCGAATCACGCTGTCTTAGCCATAGCGATGAAAGGCGAAGTGGCTATAGGGTGAGTCCAGCACAATGGTAAGTCATATAAGCTGACTTCAGTTGGATGCGTGACGAGACATTCCTAACGCTAGCGAACGATCCGGTCTCCAGGGGCGTGCTGCGCCGACATCTGCTCCTTTCCCAGCGTCCCAGTGCACCTGTCCTTGCGTGAGGCGAGGGTTCCCAGGCCGAAAAATCGCCCACAAGGCCCGCTATCTCGCGGCATATTCGGCGCAGCGCACAGCTGCGCCACACTCACCGCTATCGAACCGCAGCAAAGTCGACAAACATCGTACGCCATGTATTTCACAGTCGAAAATATTGTCTACCATATACAGCAGCCGCCGAACACCCCGGCAACGTCACAGTCAACACCTGTCTTCGCCGGCGTTTGGACGCCACGCGCCGGCGAGACGGCCCCAGCGCGAGCCGCGTCCGCAGGGCGGGCACCGCGGGTGGCGCCCAACGCGCGGCGGGTTGTCACGTGGCGCCATCACGCGACGGTCGGCGGAAGCACACGGTGCGTTCCCGCAAGCAGCTTTCACGTGACGACGCGGTTACGACTCACTGTCCGCCGGTAACATGATTGTCTGTGCATGGACAACGTCTATACATTCAGTACGTACGTGGCATGTTGTGTTACAGATGAGAGATTGGATGATGCATGACGTGCGGTATTTATACGGACAGCTCCACTACACTTATGGCTAAAACGATACAAACAAATATGCGCCTCCAATGATTTCATGCATGAACGTTTCCATGCTAATGTGAGAAATATGTCAGATAGCTGAACGCATAGCGTGTGTTCCACAGTGGCCTTGGCGAGTCGACATATATGCAAAGTATGCGACTTCACCGCATGAAAGCCACATACAATTGAGAGACCGCTCCAAGCCAGTCGATATGTGGGGTAAAACAGCCAAAAGTTAGCTCGGTACCAGTTCATTCTTATTCCCTGTCTGATAAGCTGATTGTTGCCGACCTGACCGGCATGTGGACTCCAACGAGTGTGCTTACTTCGGAAATTGCTCCCGAAACACTTACGCCCCGCACGAGGATCGAACCCGCGGGCGTCACTATATCTGCGTCTCGTGCTTGTCGGCCGCCGTCGCCAGCAGCGGCTCGCTCTCCGTGAAGTCCGATGCCACGTTCTCGACCTCGGGTCGCGCGCGCACCACGCTATACAGCGCCGAATCAGAGCGCGACGCGTCATCCGCCACTACCACCGTCAGCCAATCAGTGTTCCCGCCCAAGGTCGTCTCAAGGTCGCCACTTGACCCGCCGCCGCCCCCTGGTGACGTCGACTCGTGGTCGTCGTCCAGCTCGTGGATGCACGGACAGGAGCGCCGCTTGGCTGCGTCGCACGCGCACCTGGTGTCGAGCGTGGCGCGCGCCACGTGACGCCGCTCGCTGTGCTGGTCCAGCTCGAACCGCAGCCGCCGAGTCGACTCGAGGCTGTGTGTCCGCTCCATGCCGCCGCGGGAGCGCAGCACTCTGCCGAAACAAAATGGCGGCATCACTGATAACTTCGACGCGAGACCGTTAGCAGCAGACTATGAGACTACCAGGGAGAGGGGGCGGGGGAAGCAGGTGGAGATGTTATGCAACGAGGACAGTTCTAGAACTAGAAAGCGTGCTGCATCAAATGCTTAGCCCATAAATTCTGTTGCATGATATCTAATTCTTCCCACGACACATGTGCAATCAGAAGATATAAAGAACCCTTCCAGGTGGCTAGGGTGCGAACAAAATGCTTCCGCCTAGCGATGCCTCTTTATTCCTGAGGTTCATCTCGCGTGCGATTATCATTTATGGCCAGGCCGCAGAGACCGAAATGACTTTGCATTCCGCGGACGAAACCAAAACCCCGTGATAAAGACACACAACATCATCCTGGTCACAAGCGTGCAAAGCATGCAATAAGTGCACCATCAAGCGAGATGAAGAAAGATGTTTCAACAAGTCTGTGACGAAGCAGCGGAGCTTGCTGGCTGCCACAAGCGGCACCTACCGGATTTGCTTCTGCGCGCGCAGCTTTGTACTGTTCTGCAGTCGGCGGGCCTGCCGCCGCTCATCCTCGCCCACCAGCCAGAAGGTGGTGACGTCACCCTTTCCTGCAGCAGAGGTGAGGCAGAGGTCAGCCAACGCAGCCAGTCCGTGCGCACTCAAGATAAATCAGCTGGTTAGGATGGCAGGCGAGGCTGTTGTCCGAGCTTTTCTCGACGTCAAAGGACGGGAATGTTTCACCTTCCGCCGTACCTTTTTCAGCAGGCCTGAATACGTTTTTCGATGGCGCTGATATGAGCAGAGTAGTCGAGAATGCCAATGTGTGATTGAAAGGCTATCATGAGGGCATATGAAATGTAATTCCAAGCCGATGGCCAGGCGAAAAAAACGGAATGCCAGCGGTAGAACTTCATTATGACGCTTGGTGACACCTCCCAGGTCAATGAACGATGGAACATGTGCAGGACACACATAACTAACCTCCAATCATTATGGATGCTACTCCTACCCGTAAGAAACTTGCACTTTAACCACAAATTTGCGTTTCCGGCCTCAGCGGATTGCCATTGGAAATGTAAGCTCGGGAAACAACGGGAAGCCTTCGGAGCACGGGTTGAAACCAGGCGCCAGGTGTCGCAGCGACACGAAAACAATACCGTGCGGCGAAAACGCGAACGGATCGTCGCACTGGCAGTAGTGAGGATCGGCGCGGAAGCCGGTCGTGCGCGGTCGAACGCAGACTAGAGATCCACCGGCTTGGATACTTTTTTAGAAATCGACGTCTTCTCTCAGCAGCTAGAGAAAAATAAAAGCTTAACAATATCAAACCCATCTTGACATAGTTTCGCAACGTGAGTTTGGGGGGGGGGAGGACGTGCAGCGCGGAGTTGGGGGCATGCAAAACGCCCTGAAACTTCGTCAATGAACGGGTCAAATCCGCCGCTACAACCCTAAGTGCCATGAAGTCCAAAGCCTTACCAAAGCTCTGACCACGCACCTAGATGTGGGGTTTGTGAAATGTTCGCACTCGGGCGTGTCCGGTGTTTTGACAGTTGCATCAAACCGCTGTGCTTTCAGATATCACCTGACTGGAGTCGTTCCTCCCAAATAATGCAGCCGGAGCCACTTTCATTCAAAGGCACGCACCGGATCGTAAGCGCAACACTCGTTCACAGGGCGGCCCCGCACGTGCGGTACTCACACCTGGTCGCCGGACACGGCGTCCGCCGAGGGACGGCGTCACGCAAGGAAGTCTCATGTGCGGTGCATTTTTTCACCTCGGATTTTGTCTCGCTATACTTCTTTATCGTGGTTGGCACAAACGCACCTCCGTGTAAAAATACGAATTTTATGTTGACTTCTTTTCTCGGTTGCCCAGTTGAACGACGCACGAATCACACGTTTGATTTAGGAACAAAGAACCGCTGGTTTTGTTTGAGCCTGGTGTTAGGATCATTGCAAATGTGTGCACGCTTATGCAAAGCGGTGTGCCAGTTGGTCCTGGGTGGGTGGGGTGGGGTGGGAGGGGGGCGGTATATTTTTGTTTGGTAGAGGCTGTAGACGCCCGAGGTCCACGAGAGAGGCCAGGCGTACGCTATGACAATATGAGGCCGAGACACATACCGCTGCGTCGTGAATCGCGACACTGGGAAAAGTGCACGACAGCTGCCGAATGTGTGTAATGTTTGTGATGATTCAATATGATGCACGGCATTAATGTCAGCGGGTTCGTGCTCCAGGTGATAATTTGAGGGGCAGGTTGGTGGAGTGGCCAAACGAACCGAAAATTGATGCGAGAGGGACTAACGGCGTTTAAGACAAGGGGTGTAATGCGCTATTGACGATTTCTCTGACCATGGCAAGTGCGTATCTGCGCTGGTACATCCGGAAGTGACCACGAACAGAAACCGGATATATCTTGCTCCCTCTGTACGTTTTAGACTCACCACCGCTTGGCACAATGGCACAAGGTTACGGACTGAAATACTTTTCAAGAAGTGCCGCTTGTTAACCTACGGGCAAAATGCATGCAAGAAGACAAAAATCGAACTTAAATAAAATCTTTGACGTTTCCGATCTGCTGTAAGCGACACTAGATATATTCTACTATTTGATATAAATAAGAACACATTTTCAAAACATAATCTAAGCAAGATAAAGCAACTTATCCAAATAAACAACAAAATGATCCAAAGTGCAAAACAAGTGCAATGCTCTCAATACCTTACAGTCGTATCTGCTACGCTCATGAAAGAGGAATATTCCTACGCACTTATACGGTGCAATGGATCACCTGCATGAATCACAACAAACACTTGTAGGGTTTCAGAAACACGGCTGGCTCCACGTACCGATGTTTTGGGGCTGTTGACATGATCAGGACACCCGCTGTTCTCTCCCTCATCCCACACCCCAACAGGCGTGTGGCTGATGGCAATATACACACTGCTGTGTAGAGTGGACGCCAGCCCATGCAGTCTACACCAGTATCTGGTGTACTTACTGGTGTACTGGTGTACTTGTGCTATACATCAACAGGGAGGCATCAAAAGACCCCAAAACGCCTCACACGGGTGTAACTGCAAAGAAGTCGCGAAAAAACAACGCCACCGTACTTCGTTCAAGAACAGGCAGGGTAGCATTGCACAGCGACCACCGGCGGAAGCGTCAGGATGCTGACAAGGCGGCGAGGCCTCGAGCAGGACGGGGAGCTGACCTTTCAGGTGGGTCTTCCCCCGCTCCTCCAGCTGGTATCCCCCGAGGCGCATCAGCACAGCTCGACACGAGGCGCTGCAGTGGATTCGAAGCGCTGCCGACGCAGGCGAACGCTGCGTTACTGGCGTCATTCGGGGGTGTCGTTGGCACTGCGTTGGCGTAGACAGCCGTGGCGCGGAGCGATATGTCGGGCTCATGCTTGCTGTCGCGCTAAGCTGGAAGCGTTCCCTGCCAGACCATATAAACCAGGCCCGCGGCGACTGCAGTGAATACTCAGTCGCCACTTTGGCTGTGTCCAAAGTCTATCACCAAGCAATGCAGTGGTTTTACGTATCGCAACTTTGGAGAGTGTTGGAAAATCCCAGCTTCAATACAAAGAGCACAACGTCACCAGCTGACTAGCCTCACAGGACAAACTACAGAGACCGAGCTATATCTGTCCCGCGTGAGCTTCGATCTTGTCAGCAAATCAAAGATGGCCGCAATCGGCGCGGGTTAAACTCACGTGCTCCGGTGGACTCCATTCTGGAGGCCGTGTTGACGGTGTCGCCATACAGACAGTAACGTGGCATTTTCCTGCCCACCACTCCGGCGCACACTGGACCTGAGGGTTCGCAACATGAGCTCAAATGAGGTTGTCAGCAACGCGGCATCTTCCCACCCAGGACCGCAGCGCACGCTGGCACTCGGGTGCGCTAAATATGCTAAAATCATGTCGCCAATTGACGGTTGGCACAAATGATGAAGCCAATACATGCATGTCATAAAAACGCACCGAGTGATAAACAAGCCTGGTATTTAGCTTTTTTAACCGGCTGCTGCTCAATAGTCCCGTTCCAGGTAGGTGGGATAATGCTCCGCGACATCTGTTTCGCTTTTTTTTGCAAACGGCCTAAAGCGGGTCGGAAAAATTTCCTCAATTTTCCAAAACATCTTTCTTACATATTACGTCAAAAGTTCGAACACGTGCCTTGCAAAGGAGTGATAAAGAGCCTGGTATTGGGAGGACTTCCAGTGGAATGTGGTAGAGAAGCGAAGGTAGTGATACCCCCGGGATTACGCACAATGCCTTGCGTTTACGAAGGTAAATTGATACTCAATTGATAATTGATACTCCTGGTGAATCAGGTCGTTGCAACATGGGTATAATTTTTGCAACGCAACAAAAGCAGCATAGCATAGGTGGTTCCACGGTATGTAAAATGGAACATTGCGGACAGTGAAATGTTCGACTATGCACTAGAACAGGAATAAGGGACACTCTTCGGCACTTAAATGCAGAGTTTTGCACTTCACACGTTATTTACGCAAAAATGGACCTATACGGTGCCAAAGAGATGCACATGTTTGGCAAAAGGAATGCACAGAATATTACGTGAAATCTACGCTAGCACCAAGGCGCATTAAAAGAAAATTTTCGGGAAAAAATATGCACCTGTAAGACTGGGGAAAGGAAAGAAGCCGCCCAAACCGTTAAGTGTCAGAAATTGCGGGTTTCATCGTAAAGCTAGCACAGAACATTTGTTTCCAAGGGCTCATAGCTCACTTTTGGTAGCATTATGCTGATTTCCCAATTATTCATCACTGTTTGTTCCAGTTCATTATGTACCGATCTTTGACCATACCGTTAACCTAATATCCGACTAGGTTGGCTAGCATTTTTCACGTGTACAGCATAACCGATTGCACTTGGAATGAATCGACTGAACTAATTTTGTGAAAAATTGTGCATTTCAACCTTGTTATGTCAAAACACCACTTAAAATACTATCACATGTCGACATGTGAGAAAGTCGTTAATTTGGATAATTATCAACACCGCTGACAATCCTAGCAGTACCGTTTGCGAGTCAACTTAGTGCTTATAAATGCTGTGACCCTTGCGTCTCTGATTGCAGAGCGAATGCAACACGTCCATTGTACACAGCGATCCCCGGGTGCCATCCTCCCCGTGGAACCTGCGTCAACCTCCAACCGCCCCCCCCCCCTCCCCGTCCACGTCCACTGCCTTCCACCGCGAACCACTTTCCACCGCCACAGTGACCACCGAGTGCGGTCCTCCCCGTGGAACCTGCGTCAGCCTCCAACCGCCCCCCCCCCCCTCCCCGTCCACATCCACTGTCTTCCACCGCGGACCACTTTCCACCGCCACAGTGACCCCCGAGTGCGGCTCTCCCCGTGGAACCTGCGTCAGCCCCCCCCCCCCTTCCCCTGTTCACTGCCTTCCACCGCGGACCGTCTTCCACCGCCGAGCGCGGCCGGTCGCGCGCGTCCGCGTCCCACGCAGCGGCCACTGACCGGTGTGTATGCCGATCCTGAGCATGAGCGTGTCCTGCGGCCGGTGCCGGATGGTGAAGCGTCGGATGGCCTCCAGCAAGTGGAGCGACATCGAGGCCACCTCGCCCGCGTGCTGCAGACCGTTCCGCACCGGCAGACCGCTCACCTGGCCACGCGGCACAGGCGGCCGTGTGACGTCAAAAGGGCGCATAAAGTGTCTCAAAGGCGCATGACGTCACAACGGCGCAAGACGTCACAAGGGCGCATGTAGTGTCACAAAGACGCATGTAGTGTCACAAGAGCGCATGTAGTGTCACAAGGACGCATGTAGTGTCACAAGAGCGCATGTAGTGCCACAAGGGCGCATGTAGTGCCACAAGGGCGCACGCATTGTCAGAAGGACGCATGTAGCGTCACAATGGCCCATGTCACAACGGCGCATAACGTCACAAGGACGCATGGCGTCACAAGGGCGCCTGACGTCACAAGGGTACATGTATTGTCACAGGGGACCGCATGCCACCACCAGGTATCGAGCGTCATTGTTGGGACGCGTGACGTCACCACAGGACAGATCCAGAACAGGTGACAGCACAAAAAACAGAGGACCTTGACCCGGGAGAGAGTTTCACAGTCAGCTGATTGTTTATTGAGTTCGATGGAAACACATCATGTTGGTACGGTACAGAATAAACCAAGTAAGCGGAGCCTCAAAAGAACAACGCAAAAAATAACGTCGTCCAACGCACTCACACAACATTATCCTTCGGTGCCAATGCACCATGAGTTCTCTAATATGTCGAAGGCCATAGAATGCCTCCACACGTGTCATTATTCCCACAAAAATACTTCACAAATCAGAAGTGCCCTACGTGCTTTGAGGACATCTAAATTAGATGCTTACCACCATGTAGGCATCACCGATGGTTTCCACTTTGTACACGTCGTAGTTATCGATGATGGAATCGAAACACGTGTAGAGATCATTCAAGAAATCCACCACCTGTGGAGTGATTATGGAAATTAAACCAAACACATTTTATCACATGCAGTCAAGGGTAAAACTGACGCAAATAATGCTGACACACCAACCCGACAGCGCGACGATTATTTACTTGTTCAAATCAGTTCAAATTCAATTTCTAAACATCATCTTATTTTCAAGTTTTTCTAGTCGTATTCAAATTACGTCTGTGAAAAAGCATTAAAACGTCACAGTAGGTAACAATCGCAATGTTGAAACTTTCTTGCAAACGCGGGTACCCTCGTCACATGTACTGTATGATTTTCCTTCCTGGTCACCTGCGTCAGCATGCCGTGTCTTTGCACCTCGCTGGTGTTGACTGCCTCCTGTGATGAGGACACTGACCAAATGTTCGCGCGGTATCAAAATGAGTATTTTGCGCGGTATCCAGCATTGGAGAGAGGGCACTGACCTATGTGCTGTTCTAAACACCTAATGACCTATAAAATGAACTCAAATAAAACAAGAAAAAAAGCCTCGGCTGGTATCCAGCGTTCTCACATGACTCTCAGACTGACTCATGACTCACATGTCCGGCGCTGGTGATCCTTGCCTCTGTTTCATCCTACCAGACTGTGACATGTGCCTCGCCGTATTCTGTTCTGAAGATCTAAAGCAAGGCTCTGTTCTGGGGATGCCGACCTACGCCCTGTTCTGAGGATTATGAACTACGCCCGGTTTTGGGTAGCCAAACATGAGACCTGAGGTCATGAGGCCTAACCAGCATCATCATCGCAGGACTTGACCCACATCCGCACTAAGCACCAGAACACGTGTCCCGCGCTCGGGTTCCAAACCAGCGTCTCATGCTGTGGACATTATCCCGACTCCCGTTTCTGGCCGGTGCCCCGCTCTTGAACATGACTTGCGCCTTGCACCGGGGACCGTGTCCTGTGTCCTGATCTGAGGACCCTGATCAGTGTCCTGACCCGAGGACGATGATCAGGCGCTGTTGTAAGGACCCTGACATGTGTACTTGCCGTGGCCCGTGTCCTGCTCTGAAGATGACGGCCGCGTTGGGAGCCCGCTCTGAGGAGCCGGACCGGCGCCCGTCCTGAGGATCCTAACCAATCTCGTGCCGAGGATCGGATCCTCACCTGAAGAGGCGTGCTCTCCGCCGACATGGACGTGAAGCCCACGATGTCGCTGAAGTAGATAGTGACGCTGTCGAAGCTCTCTGCCTGCACGCTGTTGCCTCGCTTCAGCTGGTCAGCCACGTACCGCGGCAGCATCTCGTGCAGCAGCGCCTCTGGTGGACCGGATGTGTACTGTTAGTTGCGCCACCATTCGCTGGCGCCACGGGTGCATAGCTTTCAAATGTCAGAACTTGGTTAACGGGCGCGCATATTGGGCGCAGTGCGTTGTGGAATGTGGGACGTACCCACGGTGTTTGCTGTCATTGGTAGTTCCTTATGTCAAAGGTTTTGTTGAAAATCGGCACCTCGCTGTCATTCTGCAATGGGTGAATCTAGATGAACGTGCAATGCATGATTCATGCAGTGCACATAACTTAAGTGGCATCAGCACGCGGGAAGGGGCTACTACGGTCTGCACAGCTGCAGTCTGATCCCGACACACGTCCACACGCCCGCTACGCCCTCCGCCTGTACCCGGTAACAGCTCCCTCAGCCCTCCGCCTGCACCCGGTAACAGCTCCCTCTACCCTCCGCCTGTAACCAGTAACAGCTCCCTCCGCCCTTCGCCTGTAACCGGTAACAGCTCCCTCTGCCCTCCGCCTGTAACCAGCAACAGCTCCCTCCGCCCTCCGCCTGTAGCCAGTAACAGCTCCCTCCCCCCTTCGCCTGTAACCAGTAACAGCCCCCTCCGCCCTTCGCCTGTAACTGGTAACAGCTCCCTCCGCCAGCCGCCTGTAACAAGTAACGGCTCCCTCCGCCCTTCGCCTGTAACCAGTAACAGCTCCGCCTGCCGTCCGTTACCAGTAACAGCTCCCTCCAC